CAACAAGAATGTGTGTGAAGCAAATTACATCACACAATCTCAGATAAAGAGCTCATTCTCAATCAAATACAGTGGAACCTCGGTTGTCGTACGCCTCCCTTTTTCGAACAATTCGGTTCACAAACTAAATTTTTAACCAAAATGTATCCCGGTTGTACCATAACTCAGTTGCTGAACAAACCAACCATTTTACATTGATTCCTATGGGAAAATGATTGTCTGTAGAGCAGGTAATGGAGCCTAAAATGAATGACAATGAGATGAGATTGCTTTAACCAATCAGATTTTGTTGACAACATCAAGCCTTTCCAGCAGGTCTATATATATGTGAGGCCTGGGGTTTTGGTGTATGTTTCGGTACTGCTTTTATTTGTATTGTGGGCAAGGTGCTGAGTTACATTGATGTGTCACACACCTGCGTCTGGTTTCCTCGTCAGGAGGAAGGTGTATTCAAACGCTACCTTGCAAGAAACCAGTGCTGGATAATCTGTACAAAAGAGCACATGAACTCGTCTTAAGTAAGAGAGAAGGATGGAGAATGGAGAATTGAAGGTGAATAAAATGCATTTTTGCCTCTTTGATAATATTGGAATTGTAATATGTTATTATTGATTCTTTTTGATGTACATTATTCTGCAGCTGTGACTGAATTGTACTAAACTGTACTTGGGGTTTGGGATCAGAACAGTTTGTTGAGAGTGTTTTGGGCATGAATTAACGTTTGGACAGTCATTATTGTTTTAATTATTGCTCACATTTTATTATACGATTTTATTTTGAAATGCGGTCAGTCGTTTGGTTTTAGTTCCGCCAACAAGTTCCGGTCAAAAGTTTGTCGGCACGTCACGCCTTCTGCTGTCTGAAAAGAGCTATTACACTCATCAACAATTTCCCGCAAATACATTGTTGAGTGCAACTGCTCCCTTTTGTCAGCAGAGGGCATGACGTGCAGACAAACCCTTGTGAAACAAATAAAATCGATATCTTTCGATAGTAGACTACCGAAGTAAAAAAAATTGAAATAATGATTATACTGATAACATAATATTGAAGTATATCGCGACTTTAATATTTTTGCTACTGTTTAATATCCATGTAACTAAAACTAAGTTCGTTTCAGGTGAGTTGTGACCATTTGAAGAGTAAGGAGGGAGAGAAGGATTTGTACAAGTTAACTAAACAGGATTACAAATGAGATCAGAGGGACAGTTAAGGTGGACCAGTTTGGAGATAAAGTTAGAGGTGAGGTTGAGATGGTGGATTTGGATACTGGGTGTACTTGGATAAACAGATGTTGGAGTTGCCAGGAAAGAGAACAGAATGACGTGTTTAAATTATTTCTATAATTATAATTTTAAATCATTTTCAATGTCATCAGAACCCAGGTGAGAGCAGTATTCAAGAGAAGATCAGTCCGGATAACCCTACTTATTGGCAACAATTAGTGCTGTAATTTTTATTGGACTAAAAAAACAAAACAATTTTGGTTGTGGTTTGTTTGAATTTTAAAACAATTTTGGTTGTGGTTTGTTTGACATGAATTTCCAGGTGAATAAGCAAACTTAAGAAAATAAAGAATATCAAAACAAAAACAATTTCTATTCAGAAAGTACTGAGTGAATCTTTAAATACCAATTTATTCAGGTTCACTTCTCTCACTCATACAATACAATCTGATCTACAAAAACCTCAACATACGATATTGGCCATTTTGATATTTTGGTCACACATACAGGAAACCTAAAGTCATACCTGCTGTCCATTAGATGTCAGTCCCACAAGTTGACTCCTCACACTGAATATTACACATCAGACTCACTTTATTATGCCTCTTCTCTCTGCTTCTCTGCTAAATCAAGCCACAGAGCACTTAGCAGTTAATGCAGCCATTCATGAGAATACAGCCCCAGGAAAAGAAATCTCTGAACTCATGACAAACCAACTACAGTAGAAAATATGCAATTTCACAACAATGCGATTGGGGAAAAAAAAAAAAAACATTCCAAACCCTTCAAGAATTAGAAGAAGAAAAAAACAACAACAAGAAAACAAACCCAAAAAAGTGCTATTTTTCAGTTTACTTCTGCTTTAGCAGGTTTGTACATTACATTAGCCGATTGCCAAAAAAACCTGGGCCACCCCTGCAGCTCTCTTTCGGAATCCCATCAAAGGTGTCACAGGGTGGGGACAGCTTGGCCAAGTGTCACTTGTCTCTGGATGCTGCTTTCAGGTTCATGAATAGAGGGAAAATAGGCACCAGAGCAGAGTCACTGAAGGGCTGTGAGGCTATACTTTGAAAACCAACTGCATGACTCCAGTCTGGAAAGTCTCAACAGAGCCTCAGAAACCTCTTCAAGCAACATAGTGATACTGGTTTGGTGTCTCTTTGTCACGCTCCATGTAGTCTCTGTCAATGAGTGATTCGATGCGTTTCTTAAGATCCCCAGGCTACATAAAAACAGAAGGACAATTAATTGTACAGCCAAATAAAAATCACAACAGGGGACATTAGGGGATGAAGATACTTCACCTTGACGGGGAATTTTAGCTGGTTGTAGAGCTCGGATACCAGAAGGTTGTGACTGAGGGTTTTCCTCATCTTCATGATGCGCACAACAGCTGCATCTATCTGGTACTGCCTGTCTTGAAACACACGCTCTGTGGTGCTAACCTGCTCCTCTACCTGTGTAAATATGGGTTTAAAATGTGTCAAATATCCTGTAGTTACAGAAATAAACAAAAAGAAAATAAGCTTTTTTTACCGTTTCCTTCATTTGTATTTGGTTGATCTTGATACGGAACAGTTTGTGTTTAAAATCATTGTTAAAATTAAACCGGTCGCCGTCCTCCACGTCTTTCCCCCGAGGGTTCTTGTTAAGAACACGTGCTTTTCCACAGGCCAGGGACTGAAGTGTCCGTCTGAGCTCTCCGTCCTCTGTGAACAAGACCAGCTTATAGTGAGACTCAGCAGGTTCTTCTTGATGATAGAGATTGTTGTATCACATAGGTGAATGTGTGTGTGAGACCTATGCCAGTGCCAGTGCGAATGTCCTCCATGCTGAATTCTTCTCCCTCATTAAACATGAGTAGCACCAGGGTCTGGAACAAGGAAACCTGCAGCTCCTTCTTACCCTTTAGGACAAATACCTCACTGTAAATGCACTTCAAAAATTCACAACTGCCATCTATACGTCTTCTCTGAGCTTTACCAATTTACCTCTTTAAACTCTGATTTTAGCACAGCGTGACCCAGTGTTGGCTGCCACTGCAACTTCCTCCCACTGTGCTTCCCCAGATAAAACAGCTTAAACACTTCCTGGAGTTTTACCATCTAAAGAAACATAAGCACAGTAAAAAAAATATAACAGTAGTTATAGTTGTTATTATGATGTCAGTGGTTACGTGGTTAAGTTTCCGATTGGACTATTTTATGTCCAAATGTGATCATGAGTTTGAATCGCACTGTTCAGGGTCCTTTGGTCTATTTGGGGTCCTGGAGTAATGTCAGTTTGGACGCATTAATTCTAAATCATTTCCATTGAGGGTTGGACTTCTCCTTCTTGTCACTGATTCTGTATGTAACCTATATTGGTAAAATTTTAGGCCCACCTTGGAGGAGGTCAAACTTGGTGTCCTCAGGATTGGGCTTTTTTTTTTAAGATGTTTTTTTGGCTATATTGTATATGATATTTATTCTGTCATAGAGAGTCTTGTTCATGAGTAAGAATAGAAGTCTGGTGGTCAATCTCTCTCTGGTAGACTCACCCTTGCAATGACACGTGCTTGTTTTTACGTCCAATGTACAGATCACTCATTTTAAGCTAAGAGTAAATATCTTTTGTATTTTTAAAGGAATTTTTGCTGGTTTGAATAGGGTTTGTGTCTCTCACAAATACCTGGTTACCTTTACACCAACTAACATGGACATGCTTTACCAACTAACATGGACATGCTTTACCTCTGAGGGCAGATGAACCTCCATGGGTGTGTACGAAGGCCAGTATCCCATAGTCAGGATGTTGACTGTAAGTTCTATGTTGCTGGATTCACTCTGGTTCTGCATATACTGTGTAGAAACATGACTGATTATTCTTATGTATAAGAGATGCAATGGAAGATGTACCGGCGTGTGTTGTAAGAATGAATGTACCTGTTTGAACTGGATCATAATGTCTTTAGATAATTCCATGTCCTTGAACATTCCCTCGAGTTTACTGGTGAACGCGGCTCCACATTCTGCAAGTGCATGTCATACTGTATGTCGATGGTAATATAACCAGTAGCACATAGAAATCTTGCATATTTACAATTAAGTAGAATTCTGAAGGCTTAAATCAAAATGAATAAATAGGGAGCAAGTCTGCATCATAGACTGCTTTTAATGACAAACACATTGTCGGATTAGAACAGTAACACTGGCTGGTTTACATACATACATACACAAACACAAATATATTGTAAGAATTTCCACATTTATGAAACATGCACGTTAACAAGACAGCAGTCTATGACTGTTACATTGATTAATTAACCCCAATAGGGAAAACAGAACCAGGGTGTTAGACTCACCATGTTTGAGCTTGGAGAGCATGGACTTCTCAGCATCCACAGATGCACTTTTTCCAACCAGAAGACGCTTGGCTAAATCTTTTTTATAAAACGCTTCGAAGACATCTTTCCCTGAAAGTACAAACAGTAGAATTCCTAGCAGCAGTGTAAAAAATAAAAAAAAAAAAGCACTGACACACAACACTGGTTAAACTCAATTTACCATGTATAAAACGGAAAATGATCATAATCTTGTCCAGGATTCTCTCCAGCTCCTCTTCTGTAGCCTCTTTGTTTCCTGCTCTTAGCTTAGAATCCACATATTTAGCTAAATAAAAAAGATGAATACAAAACAGCATTAAAATAAAAAACACTGTAGAGGTATTTATTATTCCACTTGATATGCATATTTCGTATGCAGAAACTGTGGTTTCTGTAAAAAAGAAAAAGAAAAAGCATACCGATGAGCTCTGCTGGTTTGTTGGGCCTCCTGTTGATAAAAGTCTCAAAGGCCTCCTTCATGGCATTGACGAAGGCCTCATTCCGTGTGAAGCAACACTGTGCAACATTGTCCATCTTGTCCTTAAAGTCTAGGAGGTCTTGCACCATGTCTTTGTCTTTCTCCGGAGTACAGACAATCTCACCTCCAAAGCTCTAAGATCAGAATGTTAAATCAGAATGATTTAGAATGATTATCAGAATGAATGTCATAGCTGATTGAAATCACTTTATTATGATTAATTATAGATTAACTACTGACAGTTTTAGACAGAATTTGCACACTGAACGCCACATAATATACAGACAGGGTTTGACACCCATACCACACAAAGGACTGTGAATGCAACTTTCTTTTATTATGAAAACTAAAGCATTGTCTTTTTTCTCCTCTTCAAATCTTTTTCCCTTTCTTAAGTTCTCCAAAGACTTATTTTAACAGGCATTTTGAAATGTGCCAAAAAGTAAATATGGGATAATCAATTCATTTAAAGAAATTCAACATAATTTGCACCAATAATAAATAAAATGCAAGGGATGTGTATCTCGTTATTTCTTTGCTAGGCCTGATGGTTGGGGACCTTTGATACGTAGTGCATATATTGACTGTACCTTGATGTAATCCCTCCAGAACTGCAGCAGTGTAGCAAGTCCTCCCTTCACTTTACTAAACAGCTGGTAGAGGAGGGAGAGCTCAGTGACACGGTTCTCATCCAGCAGGGTGCTCAAACCTGGTAAGAAAAACATGCATCTACTGATGAACCTGGTCATGTTTATTACATATGATAAACACAGTGCACAATAAATGTCCTTCTGTTCCTGAGAAAAACAATTGACAAATGACTTCAATACAAACATACCTTTCTGTAGTATTGCTGTCATATGTTCTCCTAGAAGTTGTTTTTCAACACAGGTGATAAGAGGTTTTCTGTGTAATAATGGGAGCATGGAAAAATAATTAACATTGTTTTTTTAACTATACATTCCATGTGTAGGAAAATGCATAAGAAAAACTATACATTCCAGTAAAACAAAATACTGTTTATCTGTTTAGGAAAAACAAACATACTGGGTGCTCTGGTCGAGGTAGCTGACGATTCGATCATTCTCCTCCTCTAAGCGTCGAGCCACGTGATGCAAATACTCAGGTACCTGGACACACATGAAGTCAGCATGTTTTCACAGCAGGACACGCAGGTGAATGATGTATAGATTCAACTCACATCTCTTTCCTGCAGGAGCCGCTGTCCCTCTGCTGCATACAAACGATTTGTCTCCACCAAAAACCTCTCCTCAAAGGAATTTTTATAAACCTTAAAAAAAGCAGATGGACAAGTGGCAACAACAACTTCCAAGATTTTACTCATGATCACAATGATGAGGTGGTCAGCTACCTGCAAGTCTGACAGCATGCCCAACAAGCTCCTGAGCAAACTGCGATCCACCGTCTCCCCATTCCGCTCCAGTTCTATCTGCTCCAAAACTCCATCTACAGTGCGTTTCTGTACCACCGTGTCGCTCACAATGTGAGTACGAAATAATTCCAAACCTGTGTCCCTAAAACACACACTCAGGAACATCAGTCTCCAAAAATCTAAGCAACACTAGCTCCCTAAAACACACACTCAGGAACATCAATCTCCAAAAATCTAAGCAACACTGGCAATAAACATTGGATTTTTTTTTGTTTTTACCATATGGAAGGAAGAAGAGAGTTCTGTAGAACATAGGTTCGATCCAGGAAGAGAAAGATACTCCGAATCATAATCTGACAATAAATAAATAGAGAATGACTTAACACTGGATTAAATTAAAATAAGCAAGACAGAAGGCAAGTACTTTTTAAAATTCGACAAATATTCAATATTCAAATATTCTTACAGTTTGTCTGCAGTGATCCTGCCAACAGCGGTTCATTCGCTTCAGGAAGGAAAGGTTGTCCAAAGACTCTGTGAGTTCAGCATTAAGAAAAATGTTCTACATTCTGATGACTGTTCTCAGATGGAAAGAAACTTACAACTACAACTGCTCATTCATCACTTAAAGGGCAGCATTTGAACATCAGCCAAAAAACAAAACAAAAAAAAAACACTCATTCATAGCCAATTTCAAGCAATTGGTTTGTCTGTGCAGGAAAACAGAAGAACCAGGACAGAGAAATAGGAACATGCAGATATTATGCAGAAAGAGCATTTATATAAGCTGGGACATTAACTTTTTTACCGTGAGACCACAGAAATTTAACACAGCATCAACAGTACTGAAGATTCCACTTGTCAGCTTCATCAGAATGTTAAACATTTGTCTTACCTCCTACATTTGCTAGCAAAAAAAGGATATTCTCTAAACTGAGAGATCTGGGCTCGTACATGATCTTCACAGACCTGTCGAAGCTGCTTGTACAGTGTTGGGGAAACTTTGTAAGAGCACAGATTCTCCACTGCCTTCAGTTCAACAGACAGAAAACAATAAAAATAAACTCTTTACAATCTCAAACCAAAACTAATAGCACAGTTAATATCTGTTAGTGTAGATATCTGTTGTTGTACATAAGGGTCAGTAAAGAAGTAAGGATATATAATACAAATTACAAAAACATTGATGCAATTCCAGGCAATGTTTCTTAGTTAGACGTAGCTGAGGGTCTAATTAAACAGGTTTAATTTAAAATTCAAATAAAATTAACCTAACTGGATAATGGTCATCGACAACAGAATATTTTTGATTGATACAAAAGATCTGAAAATGTAAAACACTACAGGGTTTAAAGAGACAGACCTGATAGAGCTCTTCAAGGTTGTATTTTATTGAGGTGCTGTTCTGAATGGCTCCAACTGCATCTCGCAGCTTCAACCATGTGTCTTCAGTGTAGTTCTCTGCTAGCTTTGGCCTGTCTGTAAAAAAAAAAAGTGAACAACATTTATTTACACCAAGCCCTTATTACCTACCATCATTCATTCACATCACTTCAATTGTACCCAAATACTCTTGAAAACCTTTGCTGATCCAGCTACCTAATAATCTAACATGGCATACTATAGCAGCTGTGCAGCAATCAACACGAGTTAATTTATGTAGGACAACAATTTTAACATCCATTAGTAAAATGGTTACAATACATGGTTATAGCCATGTATTGTTAATTGGGAAAACAATATGTCAAAACTGTCAATGTAGAAAACACACATTTGAGAAGAATTTGGCAGGGCCTCAATGTAGAAAACACACATTTGAGAAGTGGCGGGCAGGGCCCAGGTCCCCATTACTATATAATATTATACTAAATTAACTAATGTATTTATCTTCTTCTTTGCAGCTGTTTCTGAAAATATAAAATAAACAGTACAGTTAATAATAACATTAAAATAATAAAATAAATTAAGGACAGACCTCCTAACATATGCCCCTACTTTAAGGACTGCAGAGCCTGACTGCTGCTCCCCACTGTGCAAGACCCTAATTCACAGGGGTGTTGCATTTGTTGAGCGTATGATGAATTAACATTTTTCATACATGGTGTGTAATAAGCTGTTTTGTATTGCAAGTGGGACCATATATTTATAACTGTTACACATTTTAATCCATACATTATTTTGACTCACCACATACAGTATAACATTGTCATCTGCAAACGTCGTCAAGTCCATCACAAAAAGTCACTCCAACCACACACTGCTAACCTGCTTGCCATTTATTATCTATATATATGTTCATACACACACACACACACATGTGCGTATAGTGTTTGTATACACTCATGAACACACATAACATAATTATAACAATTACAACAACGTCGGTGAGCGGTGCTTTTCACCATCGTCAAGGTTTACAGTACGATTTGTTCTAGTATTGTACAAGCAATTTACTAAAACCCTTCAACACGTCTCGTCTCGCGTTAACGTCATAGTAGATAGAATAGTAATTTACACCTGACCAGGTCACTGCTGTCAGGACCTATTCGACAGAATTGTTTATTCTAAAATGTTTGCTATTCCATTGTTTTGAGGTATATTCACACAAACTGCTTATCTGTTAACAGTAAAACTAAGTTAGACTCTGTCTGTAAAACCTAACATGCATGTTCTATTGTTATGAGTGTGTGTGTGCCGGTATACTGACAATACCTTTGAAATTTTTGATCACCAACTTCTTTGACGTTTTGCCTGTGGCCACAGCAGAGGTTCTGGCCAGTCCGTTGTTGGTGTGTTCGGTTAGGGCACAGAAGCCGCCCCTCTTGTCCTGTCGAGTATCCTCTGCCATTATCAGATAAATGCTTTGACTCTACAGAGCACTGTTGTGCTAAGTTCTCTTGGCTCCTACGGTCGATTTCAAATAATTATCACTCTCGTATAAGCTATAGTATTTTATATGGCACAGGCAATGACACTCTATTTAAACGCTACCATAAACACTACCGACTAATGTAGGGTTAATACGCCAGAAAACAACTGCGGTGTAGCTACATACAAGCTAACATAGTGTTATCTGCAGCACACAACAACCTCCAGTTTTCTTCCTTCTTCAAAATACTTTGGCTTCTATAGAGTAAAGCATTCTCGTGTCCACTACTTCCGGTTTTAAACCACTTAACTTTTTTTGTTAAGCGGCACTAAACCAAAACATATAAGCTGCATGTTTAGCGTTTGGTATGACAGATGGATACTATGGCGCTATCTTTATCATTGAGCTAACTAGCACAACAAAATGGCTGTCAGTACCCATTCGAGAATTTCATTTTGTTCTGCGCATGTGCGAAAATTCCAACTTAAGACAAAACTTTACTCGCTGATTACGCAAAACTTTTAAGACATACAAAATGATAAAAATTTAATATATCATATGCATTATAATATAGAGTTGTTAATAGACAAAACTTGTACACATATCTATTATACGAAGATATATTAGAATCAAAATTGATTGATACAGTACTTTTTAATAAAAGTTGAATAAAACAACAAATTTGGAAAGCAATGGGTTTCCCTTGTAAATCTCTGTTTATCCTGAGTTTATTTGAGTTTTTTCACATGCCTTCTCATCCTTAATGTCTCTTAATACTAGGGACACACGATACAAGTGTTGCCAAAAGCACTTGGGGAAAAATAATTTGATTGCCTGTGGTGGACTTTGTCCAATGTTTAGTTCTGCCCTCTCCCGATGGCTGTTGGTATTGGCTCCAACAATTTTTAAACACGGGATTACGGTGTTTGTCTGAGAAAAACCAAAAGCCCTTTTTCTTTAAATCATCAACAGGTCGATAGATAGAAATCGGTCGTTTAATGTCACAGATCATGCAAAATGTTGTTGTTCTTGTTTGTAATCTTTCAAAGGGTGCGAAGACTCTATAGATATCAATTTAGTAATGCTAGTAGAGTAATTATATTAGGCTGGCTTACCTTAATAGCTAACATTTTGCAACCTAATTTAAGAAAATAATAAAGTCCGTTCTATTTTAGAAAAAACATCAAATTCCCTACAAGTTTGGTAGACATGAACGCAGCACTGCATCACCCACCCCAGTAGATCAGTGTAACTGGGCGGTGTTACATTCTGGAAGGAAGGGAGGAAGCAAGGAGGCAACGTCGCTGCCATACAAGTCAGCAGTCCTGCTTGTCAGTGCAGTGTCTATACCAGCAGTATGGCTGTGTTAATCAGCAGGTGGAAATAAATGCCAGGACCGCTGTGTGTGGAGTCGTAAGGCTCGTTTGTATGTGGAGGTGCCTACTGCCGTCTCATGCTCTGTCTGTAGTGGTACGTAAATGCTAGCATCACGGATAAATTAAGCAAAGAGAGCTTCTGTACTTAAGCATCTAGTCAAGACGACAGAGGCTGGATTAAATAAGTACTTCTCCCATGACACATATGTCAAGCAGCTCACAAGTAATGACTACAAGCCATTCATTATATAGAATTTTTAAAGTGATGGATAGCATTGGCATCATTGTAGAACAGGCTTGTCAGGCTAACATTAGCATGTTTATCATCCCGGCCTAGAAGCGACTCTGTCAATTAAAAACTGAACCAGACTTCATCATACGTATAATCTACAATGCAAGTTAAATATCCCGCATACACACATTCACTGTTCACCAGAACTGTTTCTTCTGCAATTAAAATTCATAGACGGCTATGTCTAGGCTAGTTAGCTTGTACGTCATTAGCTGTCAGCACAATCGGCGCAAAATTATTTACATTATTTTATAAAAGGGAAAATTATCCATTCCAGTTCAGGGACATAGGAACACGTTCTCAAGTTTTAAAAATAAGACGTCTTAATTAACTTATCATTAAGACGACTTACCAAGTCTGGTTAATTATCTTGGAATTGTGAGATACCCAAGTCGCAATAACAACATAAAAAGTCGGGAATGGATATTGTCAAATAGAGATAAAAAGTCGGGAATGGATATTGTCAAATTATGACGTGTAACGTTATAACATTGAACAACAACAGTGAATTTTTAATATAGTCAAACCCAGGGTATTTAAATGTTGAGAGATGAGAAGTACACGTTATTATCAGCTAAAGTCCAAATTGTGATAATGGAGATAAAAGTCAATATATTAGTCAATTAGTCGATATTATACTTAGGGCACTACTGCGCACAGAAAGGACCTAAAAACTCATTGTTACACATAATATCTTAAATTAAGATGTCCAAAATGAATCAAATATTAAGTGAACAGTGACTAATGATAATTATAATAAAGCATCAACTTAATTTATTCAACTCATTAGCTCCCTTTATAGAGACTAATATAAAGTCACTAGCTTTAGCATAAATATTGTCTGTTAAACGTATATGTAGAATTCATTTTATATATATCATAAGTGTCCCATTCTAGGATATGAGTTAACTTGAATGTTTAACTTTCTGCGATGTGGGTCACGTTTACATGTGTTAAAAAACAGCATAGGAATTATAAAAACAGTAAAGCAATACAAGTATGTAAACTTAATATCCTGTCCATGTATCCATTTGCTACATTTTTACGACTTTCAGAGGAGTTGCTTTGATAACTGTTACAATCAGTGACCAATCACCTGCTAACTAATCATTAATGTCTTATTTAGCATTTCAAATATGGACAGATAACTTAATTTACAGTTAAAAAATGATAAATTGACCATGTTAGTTGCACCTGTAATTGTTGGTCAAACTATACTCTGATGTATGGACACCAACATGTTTGCAGCTTTAATGTCTCTCTGTTTTTTGTATCTTCTAGTGTAGATGCCTTTGTTGAGATGAGCGTGAAGGCTTTTGAGCTTGTCCCCGCTGTGGAGCGAGAGCTTCTTATGGGCGAAAAAGCTCGCATCAATATCGAGTGTATCGAATGTTGTGGGAAGCACTTGTATGTGGGCACCAATGACTGCATCATCCACCATTTCCTGTTGGAAGAGGTCACTTCCTCTAAAGGGAAACTGAGCTACCTGGCTCAGAAACTCTTGCACAAATACCTGGGCCTAAAGAAGCCGGTTGCTGAGCTTCGAGCGGCTTCGGCCCTGGAACGTTTGATTGTGCTTTGCGATGGTGTAGTGTTTCTAGTCGATATGGTGACGTTGGAGACTGTGCCCTCAGCAGCAGGAGGTGGAGCAAAAATCAGAAATGTGACAGGATTTTGCATAAACGAGAATCCAGTCAATGGTGATCCTTTCTGTGTGGAGATGGGTGTCCTTACCTCCAAACGGCGTACAGTCCAGATTTACATGATTTACGAGGACAGAGTCCAGCTGGTCAAAGAGGTGAGCACCCCTGAGCAACCGTGTGCCCTCAGTCTGGATGGTTACTTCTTGTGCCTGGCCCTCGCCACACAGTACATGATCTTGAATTACAACACAGGATCCTTCCAAGATCTTTTCCCTTACAACAGTGAAGAAAGAAGACCTATTGTAAAAAGGATTGGCAGGGAGGAGTTCCTTTTAGCAGCACCTGGTGGTCTCGGTGAGTTGGATATGTTTAAACACTTTTTTGATTTAGTGAGTCCTGACAATAGTTCTGAATGAATGCTCCAGTGTTAGCTACATGTCTGCTAAATAGTTGGAATTTTTATTTAGTTATTGTACAGTAGCTGATGACATTGTCCATGAATTAAATGACATACATTTTTTTTGTCAATGTCACGAGTATGAATAATTTAAAAGTGTAACTTGTTCCTCCTAGGAATGTTTGCCAATGCAGAGGGAGTGTCTCAGCGAGCTCCTGTCAACTGGTCAGAGAGGGTGATCTGTGCCGCTGTATGTTTTCCTTATGTGGTGGCCTTAGATGAGAGCTTCATCACCATCCACAGCATGTTAGATCAACAGCTGAAACAAACCCTTTCATTCAGGGATGGACACATTCTCCAAGACTTTGAAGGTATCGACATATTCAGTCAATTCTATCTAGAATATTATCTTACCAAGCAGCATGTTCAACTCAACAAATTTGTAGACTAACATTACCACATTTTGGAGTTTTTTTAAAGGTTGTCCAGGGATGAATACGCTTACTTTATGCACTCTATATGAAATGAAAGACTAATTAAAGTTGTAAGTCTAAATAAAACTTGTTAGAAAACCACAGATCAAATCAAAACAACAGTGATATGCAGGAGCTGTTTACAAGGTAGAGCCATCGGTAGATCTATCTCTGTATTCTCCCAAGGACATAAAAGGTTCACTCAAGCTTGAACGGTTTTAGTCGCACAAGACAAGGTTAACTCTTTTCTCCACGTCTGACCTTCATTTCTCATCACTGCAAAGCAAACCTCCACCTCTCCGTGTTTTCTTTAAAGCAAACCTCCACCTCTCCGTGTTCTCTTTCACCTGCTCCGTACTCTCACCACAGATGACAATGTCCTCTGCAAACAATCATGGAACATTGAGCCTTCTGTGTCTGTGAAAAGGAGCAAAAAAAATATATAAGAGAGACTATAACCCCCCCCCTGTCCCCTTAAAAAAAACATTTTAACCCAGGACCAATAGAACTTTAATCTTTACTAATATTGCAGCCTTTAGTTTCTCATTTTTGTGAAATGTGTCGTGAATTCAAATGTCTTTTATGTGTGAAGTCTGCTAAATGCTCAAACACTGAGATGGTGTGAATGATGTGACATCACTGTTGATATTTGCTTCTTGTTTTTGTGTGCTTGTCAGGTAAAATGATACTGGCTTCCACTAAGGCAGTATATGTCCTGGTTCCTCTGCCACTGGAGAGACAGATCCAGGACTTACTGGCTGGTCAGAGAGTAGAGGAGGCACTCACACTTACAGAGGGGGCACAGAGAAATATCCCCAAAGACAGGTTCCAGGTAAACAACAGTGTTTGTTTTTCTATCTCAAATCAAATTGATAATCACGAAAGGAGATCTTTTTTTTTTTTTTGTCCTCTTTCTGATCTGACTGCTAGTTGATGTTCAGTGAGACCTTACAGATTGTCTGTGTCCACAGATTTTGCATAAAAGGATCCTCCAACAAGTGGGTTTTATACAGTTTGGCCAACTTCAGTTTTCAGAAGCAAGAGAACATTTCAGGTAAGAGGAGGCGATGGGTTTTGTTGGTTTCATATGATTCTGATGTGTAGCTTGATATTTTCGCCTTATTTTGTGTTCATGTGCAGAGGTTTTTAGCCTATGTTTCATTTAGACCTTTATCCATTTATCCGTTTATCCATTTTATTATTATTATTATTATCTTGTTGTCTGACACAAATGTAGCAGGAAAATCAATCTTCTACGTTCTACGTACATCAGCAAGGTCTTTACCTTCTTTATGTATTGCTTGAGGTTATCTTTTTTTGTATAGTGGGCAGTAAAGCAGTCACAACATTTATTCACAAGTCAGATCAGTCGGTAATGGCCCAAAAATAAAAATAAAAAGGTTGGCTGTTAGCATTGCTAGCTTGTCTTATCCAGTTTTAAGGCTGACTCAAAATCAAACACTGCACAATAGCCGGCTGCCAAACATACATAGTTCTATAAAAGTTCAACACACAATAATAATATTAATTTATGTATTAAAATATTTTATGTCTTATATGAAAGTATTTCAGTAATAGTTAAACCTGGTGCTTAGCTAATAAATAAAGTTTTGATAGTTTTTTTATATTTTCATTTACTGTACTGTTCAGTGTGCCTCAACACTCTGCTAAAAGTTTTGATATACTTTCAAAATATTATAATAATTATAATATTTCAGACCATATCGCTCAGCCCTGGTCATAGGAATGTTGTTGAGTGTTTTCATTTGTGGTGGAAGGACAAAAACAGCACAATTTATCTTACGTCATTACATCTACAGGAAGGGTCAACTGGATGTGCGTGAGCTGATTTCCCTCTACCCTCTCCTGCTCCCAGCGTCTTCTTCGTTCACACGCTGCCACCCTCCTCTGCATGAGTTTGCAGATCTTAACCAACTGGCTCAGGGAGATCAAGAAAAAGTGCTGCACTGCAAAAAGTTCCTCATTAGGTATCTGGAAGAGGTATGTGAAGTTTAAAACGGAAACATGTTTACACAGGTTTTTTTCCAGGTCTACCTGTCAGGTGATCCTGTCTTGTGTGTGTGGTTATGACGGAAGGTTTTGTTTTCGATTTTCCTCAACAGGTACGAAGCACAGAAGTAGTGAATGGCTGCCGAGAGGATGTGGACACAGCTTTGTTAAAACTGTACGCCGAACAGCATCACGAAAGCCTCATGGAACTGCTCACTTCAGACAATTCCTGCCTGCTGGCTGACAGCATCCCATGGCTGGAAAAACATCACAAGTGAGAGACTTGGGTTTTTGATGATTAAAACTAGCTGTTAGCTGTTATATTCATGTAGATGTGTTAATCACAGATCAATGTTTTATTTTGACATCTCTGAAGAGATATTTCTGTCACTTTATATTATGGTTCAGACTGATAATTAGAGGAAACATTACCGCAATCTGTCTTTTATTACAACACGGACTCTACATCATTTGACAAGTTGAAAATGAAAGAAATGTAATGTGTTGACATCCACAGATGCACATTGCACCTTGGCCACAAGTTTAATAGCTGGTTTAATATTATCAAAAAAATTAACTGTCCAACAGGCCAAACGGCTCCTTAAGATAAGATAGTTTGTACTTTGTACATACATTATAACAATGTCTTTAGTCCGTACAAGATGGTACCGACAGATGCTTTCAGTTTTAGTTTGACTCGAATGTGTAATATGCCAGAACACACAACAAAAATGGAGATAATGAGAAGACAATGGTTGTTCGATGTTGTTTTTCAGAATTAAAATTTCTGTATTATGGTGATTAGTTGATTATCAAATTATCTACTCGATTATACTCTGATAATAAAATACATTTTCAGTTATATTTTAAATTTTTTAACGTTACATGACGACACAAACAAAACTTGATTTGAGTTTGAGGGGGCGTTGTCATTTGTAATTGACATCCAGAAATGACTGACCGATTACTTTGAATAAAACAATCGTATGATTAATTAAAACGATTCCTTAACTCCAAGCGTTAAAAAAAATCCTATGGGATAGCCTGCTCCTGTTGTTCTTCAACTGGACAGTTCAATATCGTCTTTCAGTACAACGGTATCTGATTTTTCTTTTAATTAATTTAAATGTTCGTCCAATTTTCATAACACGTTTTTAATATGGATGAAGACGGTGAAAAGATCACCGTTGTCTTTACACAGTGGACTGCCCTTCTTTGGCTTCTTGGCCTTAGATTTGTTTATTTGAGATACACCACTCCAACCCTAACTGGGATATAGACACGTGACAACAATAGGCGAAAATGATACGCATGTCTATATCTTACCTGATTATTCAGATAGTCAGAAAAGTGATCTTTTAAACGTTTAGTGACGTTTTAGAATCGCTTATTTACTCACCGAGCGAAGCTTAGCCAGACAGCTGGCAAGTTACTTCCGCCCCGTTCAGTACATTAGACGTGCGGACGAAGTCGAAGCTCTCCCTTCACAGCTGTCCCGTCGAATATCTTGTCGAATAATGTATCCCAACAATCGGCGAAAAAACTATATCACAATATCCCAATGTAAAAAATGCCACAGGGTGTTATAATAAAGGGAAGGTTGACGTTTGAGAGATTGTGCGGAGACGTAGCGGTCTTCGGGTCTTGCTAACCCTTTCCTGACAAGTGCCAGCCCCCTTCCCGAAAACAACGCTGTGACTTTGTGTAGAACCCGAGCGCTGATTGGCTATCAATACTGTCAATCAAAATGTTCACAGTTTTTTCTTTTTTTACGGGGGCTTTTTGGCTCTGTGTAGGATATGTAGGATGAATTAATTATGTTAGCTTTAAAGTTACCCTTTTCTATTTAAGTTCAAGAATGATTTCTCTATACATGGCAAATTACACGTGTTTATGTTACAACTTTTTTCCTTGTATCCAATATTTAGAGACTTTGGTTCTAAGTGTAAGCAGTTAATTTTTGGTAACTACTGATTACTTGCTAGCTATGTCTAGCGGTAATTTAAGGAAAAAGTTTTACTTCCTGGCCAGGCTTTCAGTGATTATATTCTTCTTCTTCTTTTTTTTTTTTTGGGGGGGGGGGGGGGTCATTTTTTTTTTTTTTTTTTTTAATTTTAAGAGTTAGTTTGGAAATATATAAAGTGTCAGGGTCTGTTGTTGTTTCATTTTATTATAAACTTGGTTGAAACCTTTTTTTTTTTAAATAATAAATCCACTCTATATAATGTATTCTTGTAGTGTTTAGCTAGGAAAAGTGTTATTACTAACATATTATTTGTTTATTTTTAACAATGTGTAAAATACATTGGTACAGAATTACCGGCCATATGTTGTTCATCTGTTCATCTGCTTTGTCTAGGTAAGATTGAGAACTGCCAAGATCTGCTGTTAGAACGTGCAACACTACACGGGAAACTAGAGGAGCACGATAAAGCGCTGCAGATATTAGTGCACGAACTTAAAGACTTCCAATCTGCTGAGTCCTTCTGTCTCTGGGCATCATCTTGCCAGGATTCCACTTACAGGCAGAAGCTGTTTCATCTACTCTTAAGTGTTTATCTCGATGGGAACCACTGTGGAAGGTCAAATGCAGGGGGCAGTGGTGGAGAGTATGACATGGCGGCCGTGGACCTTTTAAATCGGCATGGAGAGGTGTTTGACGCGGCCCAAGTTCTACGAATCCTTCCGGAAAGCTGGTCACTGCAGCTGCTTTGTCCGTTCTTGAATCGAGCCGTCAGAGCCAGTATGCACGCCTGTCGCATGTCCCAGATTGGTTTGGGGCTAGCTCATTCGGAAAACCTTCAGCTACTCCATGACAGGGTGAGACGCACATAACATAACAATGTTGTCAAGTTTATTAACAACTCACTTTTACTTCTTTTAGATGCTGTTTTTACATGCTTAGTTGATTGATGTGAGTGATTTTATTAACTACAACATGGTAAAACAAGGATCTAAGGCATCAAAATATTTGACATAGTTTATCATAATATCTTGTCAAGCTTCGACCTATGTTACGTTTTATTTTATCAAGTGTTCAAATCTCAAATTTTGAAATCAGAGCAGGCATCAGAATTTTAACAGAACTTGAATGGAAACCTTTTAGAAGTGGGATGTTTTGCTACAGGAAAGAGAGGACTCATTATCTAGAGCTTTTCTAGAGTTTTACGCTTGGGTCAAGTGATTTAAGAAAGATAAAGGGGAGCCTCAAAATAACCCTAGAGAGGGAACGCCTTTCATATATAAACAATGAGTCAAACTCAAGTGGGATTTTGTAGAGACGTCAGAATTAGAGTTGATGCAAATGCCAATTGTGTGATTTAGTTCATCACTTTTTGTCCCAGCATTATCCATTCACAATAAACTGGACCTAGACACTAGCCAGAAATTCCTAAAAAAGGTAATGTAATACTGTTGTTATATTGTAGCCACAAACACAAGATGATCAATTCGCAGAAGACTTGTAACCACCTAAGAGGCTGTAAGTAAATTGACTTCAACTGCGTTGTTACTGTTAAAACACAACCCCTCTTCCCACAAAGTAACAGTTAAAGACTTGTAAAAGTCAGCCAACTGCGTTGTTACTGTTAAAACACAACCCCTCTTCCCACAAAGTAACAGTTAAAGACTTGTAAAAGTCAGCGAGTGATCGCCAAAACTAGCCTCGTGGTCTCCAAGCAATGGCTGTCTCATCAAATGTAACCGGTATTTTCTCCGAAAGAAATGTGAGAACTTAAAGTTAGCATTACATTGAACAACTTTAGTGTGTGTAAAATTGCACTACCACATCATAATGTCGTAGAACATTCAGCAAAGACTGAGAAATGTCTGGTGTGAGCTTTAAAGAAAACTCGTTCACACCCTCCCTGCATCCCTGATTTATTTTTTTTCCACTTTCAAAACAGAACTGAAATTTCCAAAATATCTTTATATTTCTGTTTCGAGGTGAGGCAAAAAAAACTGAACTTGTTCAACATCTAACAACTGATAGGTGAACATTCCTAAAAAATAGTTTTATAATTAAAGCCAACATTAGCTGAACGTCGAGAGAACCTTTTTAAAAACTTAAGATTTAACAAGTCTGTGTTAAATCCTGAGTCATTTAAAAAAAAATTCCTCAATTCCCGTAATCCGTCATGAAAGTTGTCTGAGGGAAAAGTCTGCAATAACTGATAACATCCCAGAGCTTAGCGCAAAAAAACATGAACTGCCTAACAAGTGCTGGAAGCTGAGAGAGAGTGGTGAGGACACTACCTCTGCCTACTGTGTTGAAAGAAGAAAATACTTTACTATACTATAGTATAATACTATACTTTACTGGATGGTGGCACGCGGTCAGTTCAAACAAAAACAAAACCTGCTGTGTTCATATGTTTTTAATAGTGTAGTCAAATATTATATACATTATATATATATCACATTATTCAGCTCATCTGTTCTCTGACTTTACCATGACTTTTCCTAATAATATCTTGACTCACGAGAAAACTGGAATAATCAGGCAACAAGGTGCCAGGGTGTTTAAGGTCATGTTTTGCTTGACAGGATGGTCACGATTTTTCCACACAGTCCAAAAATCAGGCTGTAGATTGACTATAGGTACAATATCGGCATAGGTGCAGAGCCTGCAATGAAGTGGTTAACTGTCTAAGGTGCATCCCCCCTATTTCCCCCCCAACGACTGCTGGGATTGGCTCCAGCTCCCCATGACTCTGGACAGGAAGTACGACTGCTGGGATTGGCTCCAGCTCCCGGTGACTCTGGACAGGAAGAGGTAGACAATGAATGACTGAAATTATGACTAGTTTAAATGTAACTACCTCCAAACCAACCAAAACGTTGGGTGTTTTATTGGTTAAAACTATTGATATACGTAGATTGAATGGGGCAGTGGTGGCGGGGTGGTTAAGGAAACTAAAACTATTGATATACGTAGATTGAATTCAGGTTCGATTCCAGCAGATGCCACGTTACCACCCAGGTGCACTAAGCACAGCACTGTCCGTACACACTGCTCCCCCGGTGCCTGAGCTTCCCCCAGCTCACTGTTACAACAATGACAAGTAATTCACTTTCACACTAGACTGTACTTTTTAAAATCGTATCTACAGGTGCAAACTGGCTAAAAACATGTTTCACTGAAGCAAGTGATAGACTTGGCTTTTGTAAACTAGTGTCTGTCCGCTGGATGTGAGACATCCACTTCAGGACAGACACTTTCGAGCCAATGGTTAATCTGACGGAAACAAAATATGCTAATTTTTCTGTTCCGATTTTAGTATTCAATGGTTAATCTGACGGAAACAAAATAATAATTTTTGTCTGTTACAATTTTAGTATCGTTATCCTTGACACAAAGCAGTCGTTTAAAGGTTTTAACGTGCAATAAATCTGTGAGCTGAGGAACTTTCTGCATACGCTCCATTTAACTCATGTCCTGTCTGTTTTTTTTTTGTTTTTTTTTCTCCTCCAGTTAGAAGAGCGTAAAAAGAACATTGTCGTGTCCGAGAAGAAGGGATGTCACCTGTGTCACAACACCTTCAGTCAGCCAGACGTAGTTTGTTTGCCCGGTCCAGTGCCTGTTCACGCTCACTGTGTCGCCCGGAGAGTAAGAGACTCTCCCACAAAGAGACTGTTAGCTAACAGCAGTAACCACACGTGAGACACAACCACAGAAGCTGTCATATGACCTGTGTGTGAGCAACCAGAATAAAGCCGAATGTACAGAGATTTGTTAAGGCAGAGGACTGTTTCATTTTTACAGCACACTATGACACAGATAAGGTTGACAAGGCAGGCTGTACTCGTGTGCGTTTGCGTGCGTATGAGTGAGAAATCGGAGACATCGGCTTTTAATTGTCATGCTGCACTGTTGGTTTTTACTGAAGTGAAGAAGAAAAAAAAATCTGCCTTTAAACCAATTTAAACGAATAGAAAAAAAACAGCTCCCGTCTTTAGATGTGTTTTAATTGCTGTCTGCACTTGGACAGTCCACAGAACTGTGATTTGACCAACTGCATGCTATTTATATAGCATATTTTAATTGTACTATTTAATTATCTTGAACTCATAAAATAGTATCACCGTAATTGTTTACCTTTCTTTTTTTGTTAAACGTCACTGTAAAAAAAAAACACAAGGGGTCTCTCTACAGATTAACTACGATGCTCAAATTTTGATTAAGACATTTGATCCCAAATTCACACACAACCTTCACAAGTGTAAATGGATATAGTCGATACTGAAACATACTCAACGTCACCGATTTATCAGATCGCCTTAGACACGTGATCAGTCCCATCAAACTGTCTTGTCGTCACAACCACATTTTAAGTCTACCTATTTGCAGTGCAGTAGCAATCCGCCAGATGGCACTAACACACAACCTTCAAACATGCGATGATCCACAGTTGAATTTACTGAGGGTTTCACCTTTATTCTCACTATGCTTTTCAATATTAGGGGTAAAAAGTATGCGGGCCACGAATTGTCCAGAGCTGTTAAATCAATCACTATTCACAGATCATTAAAAAACAAGATGCTTTGACCGTCATTGGGGTAATTAAAATACTTCAGGTGATTAATCATTGCTGACACGAGTGAATGCATGTGCCGTGCTTTTTGCATTCCTGGGGAAAATAATGAAAAAGAAACAAAAGCTTTATCAGCTGTGACTTTGGTGGACCAAGAGCGTCCGACCTGTATCGTCTCAGCTTTCATAACCAGTCTCCTGAAGAGTGCTGGAGTTACGGCTTTAACCTTTTAATCTCAAATCCGCCTGCAGAGTTGGAAGTCGGCCCCGTTCCATCATAATGAAGCCCTAAAATTCTTTACAGACTTGTCATCTCAAAGAACTGCCCTGTCCTTTTTAGCACATTCCCTGCATTGTGTATGTGTCAGATACCAGTAAAGTGAACCTTGGACCCCATAAATGTCTCGCACTGACAGGCATAACTAGCGGCCAGGCACAACAGCTCTCTGTCAGTCATAAACAGGGGTTTACTGTATTCTTCAATGATGGTTTGCAAATTATGTTAAACAAAAGTTGTGTCTGCAGCAAAGGCGTGAAATTCATTGAAAGGATTGAGGGGAAAATCCTGGAATTTTAACTGGTGACTCGGGACAGCTTTTTCATGTGTCTCACAACAGATGCTCATCGAGATCTCTGGTAAAGCAAGCACCCTTTGAGAAGTTTCTCTTTAATCAGTCCAAAAGAAGGTTTGGTAATATTCCCAAATAAGGTCTCCAAGGATGATCTTTTTTTTCCTTTGGAGCCCTTTCAGATGTTTATTACTGTCTTGTATGTCTCTGTCCAACTGACTAAAAAGACGTGTGTGTCGTGCGCTTTGCTCTTTTCTCTGGTGTCCGTGCTGTTGACGCTTGTATTTTGTAGCTGCGACCTATTTCTGTAGACACAGCACTATTTTTCTACCATAGACGTTTGATTTTTTTTGTAGATAACGTAGTGTGCTGCTTGCTTAAAAGTCCTATCCTATCACTGACTTACAATAATAATTGTAATGTATGAACACTACGGTTCTGTGGGTTGAAGTGAATTTTATAAATATATGTGTACTGATATGTATATAATAAATTTGTACTTAATTTTGCTTTCCTAATTGATGCCAACACAGGTGTAGTGTACAGCTGTAAATCTGTCCAATTTAAATAAAGAGAAATGCCTGATTATCTCACACCGTCTAACTAGGCCCTTTGCTTCACATATTGAAATAAAAGATGGCTAAGGGCCATTAACTTTTGAGGGTTCAAATTGTGACGTAAAATGTCACTCTACACAATTTTCTGACTGACAAAAAAAATAGGACAACTCTCAAATCCACAAAAAATCTAAATAATGTGTGATGACAACACATGTTCCACTGCGATAGGTGCCTGAAATACAACGACACTGCTTTTATTTTGAAGGTAACGTTTTTTGGTTTTGTTTCTAAATTGACAACTTTGAATAAACATGTTTTATTTGATGTAAACTTGAGGGATGTTTGTGTTGTGGGTTGGCAGACTTTTAAATTTATTTCCCGCAGTTAAAACCCTCAGACCGTTGAACAGGGGAGAACTAAAAATAAAAAGGGCAATGATTTGTTTATTGGCAAAAACAACAGACGTCCGGTGTGTTTATAGAAGTTGTAAATGGGCATCTGCCCGGATACTATTTTCAGTGGCTCTAAACTTTTGAGGACAATGCTCAAGTGTGGTCATATTTTGCTAGCCATGTTCACAGCTAGTCTGATCACCTTTACCCTGCACGAGGTCAGGGTCAAGGTCGGTGTCGAGCAGTGGTTCTTAATGATTTTCTGTCATGCCCCCTTGGGGACAGACATGTTTGGGATGAGAATGGTGGTTGAGGTTTTAAAAGAACAAGCACAATTGCCTTTATTGTCCTTGTACAGATAATTATAAACACATTAAAAATTATATTTTCCACCCAAGATTACCACTTGTTCAAGAAAGCACCCAATGTTTTTCCACTGGGCCTTGGGCTGATAACTTAAAGCATATCTGTAGTCACGTATTCATGAATTTATATAATTTATGTATGTTTTGATCGTTTTCTAATTTCTGAATTTAAAAATTATTTAACCTGTAGTTAATGGTTTAAAAACTTTAACCAATATAACCCTTTTTTAATCTCGTGATTTTTTTTAGGCCACAATTTAAGGAGAGAAACTGGAACAGGATAAGATGCCCTCTGTCGATGCTGTATGGTAACTGCACTCCTTTCGAGCAACAAAAACGCCATCTTTAAGTGACAAACTACAGCAGCAGCATTCGCGAAGAGAAATTGGGTCAGGTTCTGTTGACATAGGTAGAATTCAGAAAAACCCACGCAGCTAAACTGTATTCACAGTTTAAACTCCTCCAGACTCTGATCGTTAATAGTCCAATGTGTTTGATCGCTGCGCCTCCACGAACACAGTTTTCTTGTGTCGGTCCCGGTTGAGGCTGAGCAGTTCCCTGGTGGAAAAAATACAATAAAAGAAAGAGAGGTAAGACAAGGGAGTAGATTATGCTCCCGAAACACCGCGGAATCTATCTGAAACACAAATCAGTATGGGTCGGAAGTTGACATTGATAGTGAGAAGTTATTTGCTAGCTAGTTGGTACATACATGACGCTCTGTTCGGCTAATGCTAACTCATAGCTCAGGCGGTTCTGTGGTTTCGTGTTATGAATTAAGCACATGTATGTTTACATATATAGTTTAGTGTGGTTGTAAACGGCCAGAAAAGAACCTTAAAGAGAGAGAAAGTATGGGGTGTTGTTGTTAGTGGAAGTAGGCGTGTCCTCCTCACTATTTACAAGGGCGCCTAGACTAAAACATTAATTTTGTATATGTGTCATCTGAGCGTGTTTGAAATCCCTGGCTTCATTGCCAGCAAAGTATTTATGTATAGATGATGATACGTCATCTACATCACACGTGTCAAACTCAGACCCGGGGAGCAAATTTGGCCCACAAGACTATATCAAATGTTTACTGGAGTTGGCACGCCAGTATTATAACCCCTGTATACTGTCAGGATTTGTCTTACTTCAAATTTAACGTGTTTATAATATTAGCCTTTGGTTGTTACAGATTCAATGTTTACACAAAACTGAAGTTTGTTTCCATATGAAAACATGCATAATTCCAACTGAAGTTTGTTTCCATATGAAAACATACAAAATTACAGTTAGTTGTTCAATAAATATTAAGTTTGGCCCGTGACTTCGTCCCAGTTCACGGCCCTCTGTGAAATTTTTGGTAAAGTAGCGTGGCCGCGTTGGTGTATGTCATTTATTAGGATTCATCCTTAGAATAAGCCCTACTGTATTCACTTCATGATGGCTGACAATTAGTGTCTGTGTGTTTTTGAAGCAGAAGCTGTTTTCGTTGACAAATCAAAGTTTTGACTATTCTTTGTTTCACCTACACCTCACCTACGTTTGTTTATGTCTTTTATCGAGACCTGGACTTGTCTTCATCTATCTGAAATTTGTAGTCTCTCCTCTGATTATTCAGGATGAAACGAGTTCGTCTGGTGAACGAGGAGGACGGTGGCGGGGGCAACAGCGGTGGCTCCAAGAAAACCCTTAAACGACCCTTTAAGGAGAGACGAGATGAAGATTTGGAGGAAGAAAGTGCTAGCTGGGAATGTCTGCCTCAGGAGATCATGCTCCACATCTTTCAGTACCTTCCTCTACTGGACAGAGCCTATGCCTCTCAGGTACATGTACTAAAAGTAATGTCATGTTGGTCATAATATTTAATTGTAATGACCTTTAATACATAACGTTACACTAAATGTCATATGTCAAATATCCCAAATGCAGCAAGAAGTAACTCATGTGAGGGATCAACGGGAAATACATTCAGACTACCTGGAGATAGCAGTACAGTGGCTCACACACAGGCTAAGAGTTTGGACCCAGGATTTAGTTTGTCTGTAGTAAATGCTATGCACTTGTGTGGTTTATGTATGTATTTTTAGTACTTATTGTGCAGCGTACTTAAAATGCTTAGTGAAAAAAAAGTTTTTACAACTTCACTTACAAATTATGCATCATTGATATCATTGTTTTTGCAAATAGTATAGTATAAATTCACACTATTTCTGCCAGCATTTGCAGCACAAATACTTTACTGAAATCAAATGTTAAATAACAAAATAATGGACTGACACATCCTAATTTTTGTACTGCCATTTTCATCAACTTCGCCACAGGTGTGTCGAGGCTGGAACCAGGCGTTTCACTTGCCAGAGTTGTGGCGTTGCTTTGAGTTCGAGTTAAACCAACCGGCCAGTTCCTACCTGAAAGCTACTCACCCAGATCTCATCAAACAGATTATCAAGCGTCACTCCAACCACCTTCAGTACGTCAGTTTTAAGGTATGATCTGATCTGATGACAATGACTTGGTTTTCTACACATTCAAACAACAGAATTTTTTTTTTTCAAAAAAAAAAGAAGTTTCATCTTCTCTGTTCTCTAAAGGTGGACAGCAGCCGAGAATCAGCAGAGGCGGCGTGTGATATCTTGTCTCAGCTGGTCAACTGTTCTCTGAAAACACTGGGGCTCATCTCCACAGCCAGGCCTAGTTTTATGGAAGTGCCTAAAGTAAGCACAGTTCAAAAAGCCTTTATTACTAATGCAAAATGTTACAATTTATTAATTGTCAAGGTGGTGTGACACCACAAGATAGAATTATATTACATTATAATAATAATTAAATAGTATTATAATTACATTATGATTTACATTATAATAATAATTAAATAGTATAATAATGAATTATAATTACATTATGAGCACTCCTCAAGAAGCAATCTTCACAGTCAAGAAATACGATTCTTTAAAACCAACTTCCTGTAAACCACATTAATAATAAATACATATTTAAAATAATTAATAAGAAATGATTATTAACAAAAGAACCAGCAGGTAAGTGCTACAGGTTCTTTTCAGTCTCTCAATTTAACATGAGCGAACAAGTGCTATTAATAAATTCATTTAGTAAATACTTTGATTTTTAAATGTCTATAAAAAGTGATTTCTATATAAGACGCGAGTGAAAACAGCACAAGTGTTAAATGAATGTGTCCAAAAGGTGAATAAAAGAATATTTAAGGCTGTTCGATGGACCCGTATAGTTCTGCAAAAAGACTGACTTACTGTTTCTCCGCCTTCCAACAGTCTCACTTCATCTCAGCGCTGACGGTGGTTTTCGTCAACTCCAAGTCATTGTCGTCCCTGAAAATTGATGACACACCTGTGGACGACCCCTCCCTGAAAGTCCTGGTGGCCAATAACAGCGACACTCTGAAACTGCTGAAAATGAGCAGTTGCCCTCATGTTTCACCTGCAGGTACAGTGCTGACTCACACCATTCTATCATCTTCAGCACCTCTCTTGTGTGTGAGTGTACTTCTGGTTTGGAAAAAAAAAAGGCAATGATCTAAAACCACTGAGACTTTTATAAATTAAGTCTACAGTGTTCCCTCTCTATATCGCCGTTCTCCTTTTGCTCCCTCAGTACATCGCACATTTTTTGTTTTGAATCCAATCTCGTAAAAAATGTCACTGTGTTGTGAAATATAGCAAAAAATGAACTAAAATACATTATAAAATAATTTTACATACGAAGTTTTGACTTTAAAAGTGTGGATTCTTATTTTGAAATTGAGACAAGTGCATTTGCGAACGATCGCTGTTAGCTTTGTTTAGCTGGACGAGATTGTACACAGCACACTATTGGCTGATGTGTACAATGCGTACTCGGTGTACTATTGGCTAATTGAGCATGCTAATCTGTTCCTCAGGATGATTGGCTCATGCATTGCAGCATCTCTCAGCACCTCCCCTTGTCAGTCACTCTCGCGTTCACTTCGCTCTACGTTGCCATTCTACAACTCTACTCTGCATATAATTGTGTGGGAAAGGGTAATTAGGGAGGGTTGATAACAGTGTGTGGGAGGTTCATAAAGGGTAAATACATACATGAATAATATAATAACTATCTTGCCTCTACTTCACTTTTTATTTTTCCTGTATCACTGTATTAGCCGTTTTCCCTGAGCTGTGAGAACTAAAATGAGTAATGGTGATACAAATATGACAAGCAGCCAAATTAGTTTTGATGTGGTTGTTTTTTGTTTGGTGAGAACTAAAATGAGTAATGGTGATAAAAATATGACAAGCAGCCAAATGACTTTAGTTTTGATGTGGTTGTTTTTTTTAGTTTTTTTTTTACATTATCTTTTGTCTCCTAATTCCTGGTCCTCTCTTTCTCAGGCATCTTGTGCGTGGCCGACCAATGCCATGGTTTGAGGGAACTTGCCCTCAACTACCATTTGCTGAGTGATGAACTTCTCATTGCTCTGTCCTCAGAAAAGCATGTTCACCTTGAGCACCTTCGCATTGATGTCGTTAGTGAGAATCCAGGCCAACAGTTCCACACTATCAAAAAGAGCAGCTGGGACGCCATGGTGCGTCACTCTCCAAAATTTAACCTGGTCATGTATTTCTTTCTGTACGAGGACGAGTTTGGCCCCTTCTTTAGAGATGAGATCCCAGTTACACATCTGTACTTTGGTCGCTCTGTCAGCAAAGATGTCCTGGGACGTGTTGGGCTGACCTGCCCACGTCTGGTGGAGCTTGTCGTGTGTGCTAACGGGTTGCGGCCGCTAGATGAAGAGTTGATCCGCATCGCTCAACGCTGCACGCAGCTCTCAGCCATTGGCCTTGGAGAGTGTGAGGTGTCCTGCAGCGCCTTTGTGGAGTTTGTGAGGATGTGTGGAGACAGACTGACGCAACTATCCATCATGGAGGAGGTTCTGGTTCCAGATCATCGTTATGGGCTGGATGATATCCACTGGGAGGTGTCAAAACATCTGGGTCGTGTCTGGTTCCCAGACATGATGCCCACCTGGTAGATATGAAATGATGATTTTTTTTTCTCAGTGTTGTAAAGTTCCCCCTATTTATTTGTGTATTTAAATTTGTTTTATCTTTAGTTTTTCAGCACTTTGTTCTCAGAGCCATTTCTTTGGCTTGGTTATATTTGATGTTTTAGGGCATATTTTACGATATCAGCTTTTAAAAAAAAGAAAAATGGAATATCTTTGCACAAATAGAAAGGCATTCATTTGCTTTGGGTTTTGTTTGGGTGTACGTTTTTTGATTACCCCGACATATGTAACCACAGGATTTGTATTTTTGCTTAGTTTAGAGTGCAGTTTAGAAGACAATCAGGTGATGAGAAATGTGCAGTACATTGGGTTTGGATGATCACCATAATAAGCTAATTTGCTTTGTTTTTTTCTTGTATAGGAATTATTTGAAAATAAATGTTTCCTCTTGTGGAAGTAATGTTATTTTTTTCCCAAACACCCCAAATCTTGACTGTATATATTAATCTAAAATGGAATCTGTTCCATGTGTGTTAATATTTCCTTTGTTGTTTGTGTTAACATGTTAGCTATTTTTAAGCAGGTCAGGTCAAAGAACTACTGGTTAGCAAATAGGTTTTTTGAATGCAAGGCATCAGTGAAGGGAATCTTTTTATCAGCTGAGTAGCAGGATGCTGCTATGCTGTTGAAGTACGGACGGATTTTTGTCACTTGTTTTGTAAAGGATTAAGTTAATATGTTTAACCAGCTTAATGGTCAATGTCTTTTGCAGATTTTTAAAATCACTTATAGAAAACAGTGGTGGTACTTGTTAGGTTTTTGTTTTTTTTTCTGTCCGTTCACACATTTAAGGATTCGTCAAAACATGTAGCGTCCTCCAGATGCTCAAGTGTGGGTTTTAATGTTGCAGCTATTTTAAATTCCGTTGATACCATCTTCACAGTCGTTTAACTGCGCAGCCCTGTTAACTGACGGTTTGGCAAATGAAGCTTATCAGAAGAGTTAAAATGTTAACAATTGATGGATTTGATTTATTGAACGGCTGTTAAGGTGAATATATTGAGGGATGTCAACTTTTTGACTATGTAAAAAAAATTACATGTGTAAATAGCTATACTGTTTTGATACAGTCCAGAGTTTTTCCATGGAAAAAAGCCAAGATTTCTATATTTTTTCCCTTTATAGCAATAGCAATTTATGTCTTAATGTTGTCTTTTTTTTATTTGCAGGACAAAAAAGACAATAAGATGAATCTTTAGTAGTTAACTGCACATTTTACTGGTGATTTATACATAAAAATAACATGTTCATTCTGCACTTGTATTTAGTGCTCTAAGATGTCTTTTGTTTGTTTTCTATTACAGCCTGACTACATTTTTATATATTGTACAGTGAGTTTTCTGTTTATTAAATTGTAGCTTAACTAAGCTGCATAAGTATACATAGCTACATTGAACAATTACAATTTTCCCCAAAGATACAGTGAGGCCGCGATATACGTGTTTAATGCCTTCCACGACAGCACTCGTGTGTCGATTCACTCGTATCTAGATCGAATTGTCCCCATTAAGAATAACTATAAACCAATTAATTTGTTCCAGCCCCCCAGAAATATTCTATTAATTAATTCAACGAATCCCCCTATCTGAACATCAAAAACCGATATAAACAAATACAGTTTTTTTCAAAAAGGAAAGAGAAATAAAGCGATGGGTAAAATGACCAAGCGAAGGACAGTGAGCGTGACAGTGTCAAGTGGAAAAAGTTCGGTTGAGAACTTGTATTTTGGGCAGCTCGTATCTCGGGGCCCCATATATAAAAAATCGGCGTGAAAATTCAGCGACTAATAAATAATTAATTGCGATTACTGAGTGGAGTGGTAGACCGGACCAAGATGGCGGCCCCACGGCTCGTTAGCGCCAATAGATAGGAGCGGTCGATGCGGCGTCTATTCTTTATTATGTCTATGGACAGAAACGCCGCCTCCTGCAAGACCTCGGTGCTGATGGGAAGAAATCAGGGGGCTGTAAAACTTTGTTAGCTTAGCCTGTGATTTAGCCCTTTCGCCGCTAGTTGTCTTAAGTTTTTCAGCTTCGACTTTTACTCTGCCGAGAGAAGAGGAATGTTGGGTGTTGCGGGGATGCCGGGCAGGTAGGAATTATGTTTATTGGTGTATTGTTTTTAAAATTAAAATAAATGAATGAATGTACAACCACTGCCAACGCCCGTGGGACATTAGCATCGAGCTATGGCTAACGGTGTCTTAGCTTGCGTTTGCAAGCTAGTACAGTTAGCATTGAGTTAAAGTAACGAAACGATAACTAAGAATAGACAACAAGTTTCTCTGAAAAAAAATGATAAGTTGGTAAAATAAGTTTTGGTTAGTCACGTCACTGTTTTTCTTCATATTTGAACTTATGTCCGGTGGGAGGTGTAAAAACATCGGGGTCGTGTCTGGTTCCCAGACATGATGCCCACCTGGTAGATATGAAATGATGAATAAATCCTATGTTATTGATTTTTTTTTTCTCAGTGTTGTAAAGTTCCCCCTATTTATTTGTGTATTTAAATTTGTTTTATCTTTAGTTTTTCAGCACTTTGTTCTCAGAGCCATTTCTTTGGCTTGGTTATATTTGATGTTTTAGGGCATATTTTACGATATCAGCTTTTAAAAAAAAGAAAAATGGAATATCTTTGCACAAATAGAAAGGCATTCATTTGCTTTGGGTTTTGTTTGGGTGTACGTTTTTTGATTACCCCGACATATGTAACCACAGGATTTGTATTTTTGCTTAGTTTAGAGTGCAGTTTAGAAGACAATCAGGTGATGAGAAATGTGCAGTACATTGGGTTTGGATGATCACCATAATAAGCTAATTTGCTTTGTTTTTTTCTTGTATAGGAATTATTTGAAAATAAATGTTTCCTCTTGTGGAAGTAATGTTATTTTTTTCCCAAACACCCCAAATCTTGACTGTATATATTAATCTAAAATGGAATCTGTTCCATGTGTGTTAATATTTCCTTTGTTGTTTGTGTTAACATGTTAGCTATTTTTAAGCAGGTCAGGTCAAAGAACTACTGGTTAGCAAATAGGTTTTTTGAATGCAAGGCATCAGTGAAGGGAATCTTTTTATCAGCTGAGTAGCAGGATGCTGCTATGCTGTTGAAGTACGGACGGATTTTTGTCACTTGTTTTGTAAAGGATTAAGTTAATATGTTTAACCAGCTTAATGGTCAATGTCTTTTGCAGATTTTTAAAATCACTTATAGAAAACAGTGGTGGTACTTGTTAGGTTTTTGTTTTTTTTTTTCTGTCCGTTCACACATTTAAGGATTCGTCAAAACATGTAGCTTCCTCCAGATGCTCAAGTGTGGGTTTTAATGTTGCAGCTATTTTAAATTCCGTTGATACCATCTTCACAGTCGTTTAACTGCGCAGCCCTGTTAACTGACGGTTTGGCAAATGAAGCTTATCAGAAGAGTTAAAATGTTAACAATTGATGGATTTGATTTATTGAACGGCTGTTAAGGTGAATATATTGAGGGATGTCAACTTTTTGACTATGTAAAAAAAAAATACATGTGTAAATAGCTATACTGTTTTGATACAGTCCAGAGTTTTTCCATGGAAAAAAGCCAAGATTTCTATATTTTTTCCCTTTATAGCAATAGCAATTTATGTCTTAATGTTGTCTTTTTTTTTTTAATTTGCAGGACAAAAATATTTATGTCTTAATGTTGTCTTTTTTTTATTTGCAGGACAAAAAAGACAATAAGATGAATCTTTAGTAGTTAACTGCACATTTTACTGGTGATTTATACATAAAAATAACATGTTCATTCTGCACTTGTATTTAGTGCTCTAAGATGTCTTTTGTTTGTTTTCTATTACAGCCTGACTACATTTTTATATATTGTACAGTGAGTTTTCTGTTTATTAAATTGTAGCTTAACTAAGCTGCATAAGTATACATAGCTACATTGAACAATTACAATTTTCCCCAAAGATACAGTGAGGCCGCGATATACGTGTTTAATGCCTTCCACGACAGCACTCGTGTGTCGATTCACTCGTATCTAGATCGAATTGTCCCCATTAAGAATAACTATAAACCAATTAATTTGTTCCAGCCCCCCAGAAATATTCTATTAATTAATTCAATGAATCCCCCTCCCAGAAATATTCTATTAATTAATTCAACGAATCCCCCTATCTGAACATCAAAAACCGATATAAACAAATACAGTTTTTTTCAAAAAGGAAAGAGAAATAAAGCGATGGGTAAAATGACCAAGCGAAGGACAGTGAGCGTGACAGTGTCAAAAATAAAGCGATGGGTAAAATGACCAAGGACAGTGAGCGTGACAGTGTCAGGTGGAAAAAGTTCGGTTGAGAACTTGTATTTTGGGCAGCTCGTATCTCGGGGCCCCATATATAAAAAATCGGCGTGAAAATTCAGCGACTAATAAATAATTAATTGCGATTACTGAGTGGAGTGGTAGACCGGACCAAGATGGCGGCCCCACGGCTCGTTAGCGCCAATAGATAGGAGCGGTCGATGCGGCGTCTATTCTTTATTATGTCTATGGACAGAAACGCCGCCTCCTGCAAGACCTCGGTGCTGATGGGAAGAAATCAGGGGGCTGTAAAACTTTGTTAGCTTAGCCTGTGATTTAGCCCTTTCGCCGCTAGTTGTCTTAAGTTTTTCAGCTTCGACTTTTACTCTGCCGAGAGAAGAGGAATGTTGGGTGTTGCGGGGATGCCGGGCAGGTAGGAATTATGTTTATTGGTGTATTGTTTTTAAAATTAAAATAAATGAATGAATGTACAACCACTGCCAACGCCCGTGGGACATTAGCATCGAGCTATGGCTAACGGTGTCTTAGCTTGCGTTTGCAAGCTAGTACAGTTAGCATTGAGTTAAAGTAACGAAACGATAACTAAGAATAGACAACAAGTTTCTCTGAAAAAAAATGATAAGTTGGTAAAATAAGTTTTGGTTAGTCACGTCACTGTTTTTCTTCATATTTGAACTTATGAATAGATTAGTATATTTTGAACTAAAATGATCTTAATATAAACAAATCTTAAAGCAAATTATTTCAGCTTACCTAATATTAAACAGCATATATCAACTTACTGTTTTATCAGTCATGTTTAAACTCAAAGGAATGCATGGTATGCAAGTGACGTCTTACGATTAGTCATTCATAGGGTTGCAGCCATATTTTATTTCCAAAAGAACAACACACATTTCGCTAACATTTACAAATTCATAATTTGCCTCTCTGGTATGTTGTTTTCAATCCAGCAGTAATGCCCCTTGCAATAAGTAAGCTGGTATAACGTTATTAAATCCATCAATTAAAAAAACAAACAAACAAGGTTACGACATGGCTCGGCACAGAATAGTTGAATATGAAGATAGGACTTGCCAAGTAAATCAACTGCTTGAAAAATAACCCTCCAGTTAATCCACTATAAGAACAAACATTTTTCATGATATTTTTTTTCTCTTCAAACCCTCATTTGAATATTTAAAACACTAATAAACCATCTGAAAACATCAATGACTGTCATGTATTTTTTTCTGTCAGATCTGAAAACATCAATGACTGTCATGTAACACATTTTTTTCTGTCACTCAAGATAGACTAAACTAGTCTCTCTTGATGTTAAGTTGTCATTGAACATTTGAATAGACTGCTCAGAATCTTCCATCATCTCCCACAGCTACATTTTTGGCATTGCTGCTTCTGTCCCATATTGAGTAGAGGGCGAGCAGTGAACAAGTTTGACTGAGACCCTCCCACCAAATTGACTCATGTTATTTAGAGTCTTTTTGCAGACAGCAGCTGAAATAAGCTCAGCAGTTAATGTAGGAGTGATGTGAGGAATGGTACACATTGGTCTCACTTTGCATTCCATCTATTTGCCATAGCATATTTGTCATAGCATGTCTGGGCACAGTGTGTTTATATGTATTTTCTCCTCCCATGCAACAGCATTGCTAATGCTCTGGCCAATGCAGCTTGCGAGCGATGCAAAAGCGGCTTTGTTCCAACTGAGAAGATTGTCAATAGTAATGGAGAGCTGTACCATGAGCAGTGCTTTGTGTGTGCCCAGTGCTTCCAGCAATTTCCAGAGGGACTCTTTTATGAGGTAATGCTCTCAGATGTACCATTTATTTACCATCATACCCCACTCCACAAAATCACATCACAACAAGATGTGGGACTTCTCCTTTCCATTTCCATAGAAAATGTTATGAGTAATTACCTTCAGGAAGCATGTTTAAAACTTTCTTCTTCCCTTACAGTATGAAGGAAGGAAATATTGTGAACATGATTTCCAGATGCTCTTTGCTCCTTGCTGTCACCAGTGTGGTGAGTTTTACAAACTCTAAATATTCACTGTCACTCTATCTCAATTTTAGAAGATTTAAGAAGTCCTTCGTTCGAAAATGCAAATACTGCAAAGACTCTAACTACTATTTTGTGCAACAGCTTTAGCAAACAGTTATACCGGGTCATATGCAAAAGAAACTAATCCTGAAATTATAATTCTGAAGTAGTGGTGGCAATAATTAAGTAGTGACAAACAGTGCTGATGGTCATTATTTTAAATAACAAAATATACCATTTTTGAAGCTATTGCTTACATTTCTTGAAAAAGCTTTCTAGTTCTGAAAAACTGGCAGGTTGTGGTAGATATAGGACTTTTGTCGGATTAGTGTTTTTCTGTATTCCATGTCCACAGAGACTTAAATATATGCATGGCCACAGCTCCCTTCATTCCTCTGTATAATGAGGGTCAGTATCAGTCTGGCTTACCCTGATTTTTTTCCTAATTCCCTATTCTCTTCACTTTCTTTTTTTTTTCCGTCATACCTGAGGCATCAGTGCTCTCTGTCTGTCTGTATTCTGCATGGCCACACATTTTTGTAATGAAATTCAAGTGAAATCTGTCCCCAGACGGTTTTCAAAAACAAATGCACATGTGTGAATGGCATTTGCAGAAAAAAAAAAAAAATGCACATGTGTGAATGGCATTTGCTGCATTCTGACCTCATCGACCTTTTGGTTGCAGTCACTGAATTGACAATTAGTTGAGCCTATATGTTTTACAGAAGTATACAAGAAATAATTTTGCCTGCATGGCACTCTGCTTTTATTGGTGCAGATTATGTGTGACACTCTGACTCCTTTGTTTTTCTTTATGGTGCAGATTATGTGTGACACTCTGACAAACTCCTGGTTTTTTTTTTCTTGAAACTGTAATGGTTATTTCTGCTATTTTCGAAAACCCAGAATTGTAGTAAATGCTAATTTTAAAGATTGTCTGATGAGATTTGAATTTGAATGTACCTAATAATTTAGAAAACTCCTAAAACCTTCACTTCTGCTGGAAGACAGATAGCTATTAGAAGGTGAATATCACTATATCTCATAAAATGCTTCATAACTGCCCTTTTACTGCGTGCTGGAAACAGGAACATTGTCTGGTTGATAATTTCATCTGTCTTTCACAGAGTGATTGTGACATACATGGTCTTCCATTCAGTCAATGGCTTTGTCCAAAATCACTCACTCATTCTCTACTCCCTACCTCCTATATAGGAAATTATATGCAGTGCTATGTAGTGTACTCATTGGTTCAATGAGTACACGACTGCAATGCAAGATGGGATATATTGCTTGGCAAGTGTACATCAGATGTACGCTAGCCAAGCAATATATCCCATGGCCTATTAGATGCCGCCCTGGACACATGCATGTGCACCCTTTAGCCATTCAGATGATACCGAGGTCCAATAATGTTCCTGCAGGAACGATAGTCAGAGAAGTAAAGAAAATGCCGAAGTGCGGAGTGGTTGTAGCAATATCTAGAGATAACACCACCAACTTTTTTTCACAATACTGCATACTACACTGACCTAATCTGCAGTCACTGTAATAAATCCAGGAAATTCCTCCTCTTGTGTGTGTTTGTGAGTCCAAATTACATCACCCACAAACTAACCACTTGTAAAGTCATCCTGCATGCCCTTTAGTGCCATATAGGATGAATTTAAATATTGTTAAAGTGTGCTTGGGAAGAGACAGACAAGCCCTGATTGAATTAAATGGACAATTAAACCGCATTCAACATTTAAGTGTCTCTTTGAGAACACTATAGAAATTACCACAGTTCATTCAACTCTCATGACTCCAGGCTGAAATGTTTTTTTTTAACTACTGTTGAGCAGCAGGATAAAAATATTCTAGTGACAGTAAATATGTGAAAACAAAACTTTATCAGGTTTAAGAAGAGTTGTTATTTATGTTTTTCTTTAGGGGAATTCATCATTGGCCGAGTCATTAAGGCAATGAACAATAGTTGGCACCCAGAGTGTTTCTGCTGTGACATTTGCCAGGCTGTGCTTGCAGACGTGGGATTTGTCAAAAATGCTGGGAGGCAAGTATTCCACCTTATTACAGACTGAATTATAGCTCTGTAGCAGCAAGCTGAAGCTGTGGCCAGACACTCATCGACCTGGTTACTCACTCTTTTCGCTTCTCAACAAATATTCCAAGTTTGAAGGACTTACCTAGGCTGCAGGCATTCTATCTCCGCTCCAATGAAACTCCCATTTCCTCTGCTGCAGGCACCTTTGTCGTCCCTGTCATAACCGTGAGAAAGCTCGCGGACTGGGCAAGTACATCTGCCAGAAGTGTCATGCCATCATTGAGGAGCAGCCGCTGATCTTTAAGAACGACCCCTATCATCCAGACCACTTCAACTGCAGCAACTGTGGGTGAGTCTGCTCCTTTCCATCTTGGGGTTAAGCTTAGCACAGAGCACTCTCATAATTCGAATATTTCTTAGCACCATTTGATAGAATTTTTTCCGATGGTACGACTGTTTTTTTTTCCCCCATAGAAAGGAATTGACAGTGGATGCAAGGGAGCTGAAGGGAGAACTTTATTGTTTACCATGCCATGATAAGATGGGTGTTCCAATCTGTGGAGCCTGCAGGAGACCAATAGAAGGTCGCGTTGTCAATGCGATGGGCAAGCAGTGGCATGTGGAGGTTTGTTCTTTTAGCCTAACCCTAACCCTAAAGTAAAGGTCTACTATGTTTGTGCCCAGACTAGTACTGACTATGGGTCATATGGTATTGCGCCACAAAGATTTTATTGATAATTATTGAAAATGATGATTCCCCTCAAATTTTAGTTTCACTTGTACAGTGACCCCTATCCTATCGCGGTAGTTACATTCTAAGACCCACCACGAAATGGGAAAAATCACGTTATTATTTACGCATATACAGTATTTACCCTTTACAAACCTCCCTCACACTGTTATCAACCCTCCCTAGACTGTATTACCCTTTTCCCACACAATTATATGCACAGTAGAGTTGTATAATGATAATGCACAGAGAAGTGAATGAGAGAGGGGCAGACAGACAAGGGGAGATGCCGAGAGATGCTATGATGCATGAGCCAATCAGTGTGAGGAACAGAAGAGCATGCTCAATTAGCCAGTAGTGCATCGAGTACTCATTGTATAAGCCAATAGCATGCTGTGTACGATCTCATCTGGGTAAACAAAGCTACAAGCGGTTGTTCGAGTTGTACAAATGTGCTTATCTCAATTTCAAAACTTGTACTGAGGGAGCAAAGGGAGATCTGCGATATAGAGAGGGAACACTGTACATAAAAGGAAAAACAAAAGCAGTAAATGCTGAAAAAATGTAAAAGGAAATATATAGTTAAAATAAAATCAAATTTTATTCAAACAAAGTGGTTTCTCCTATATAAAAACATCTATTTAGTGAACACAACAGTTAACAACAGTTGCTGTAAACGAACTCTACCTTCTTAGACACATCGCTCACTCATCACACACAAACACACATATTTCACTTATTCCCCCTTTATGGTGCTGCTGCAATAAAAGGGACTTCCATCTCGAGTGGCTCAAATCTTTGGTTTTTACTGAATTCCCGAATTCCCAACAGAACACATTATGTGCTCACCTGACACCATAATTCTGAACTGCAAATAACTTAGCCAAAAGGTGAGATTTTTCTTGACCCACTTACATTCCTCCCCTGGGTATGTTTTTTTTTTTTTTTTTTTTTTTTTTTTTTTTTTTTTGGAGTCTACTAGGAAGGTCTATTTCAATCTCTACAGTCAGAAACTTTTTACTAGATATGTTCTAGCAGTACATGCCATTGCTGTTGCTGCAGTACATGCCACATTTTTATTGTTGCATGGTATGTCCGTGTCCTTCCTTCAACAAGTTTTGTTTTTTGTTTACAGCATTTTGTCTGTGCCAAGTGTGAGAAACCTTTCCTTGGTCATCGTCACTATGAAAGAAAGGGCCTGGCTTACTGTGAGACACATTACAACCAGGTATGAAATGGACAACTTTACAACAGAAAAGTACTTTGACTGCTAGGATTGCCCGTCTTTCAATCATCAGACTTATGGTTTTCTTTTCCTGTGTTAACACTTGTTTCTGTAATATTCAGCTATTCGGAGATGTTTGCTATCACTGCAACCGTGTGATTGAAGGGGATGGTAAGTCAAGTTTTAGCCAACATTTTTTTAAAATTCTCCATAAGTCCATAACCGAAGTTAATACTTAATCACCTTAAGTATTTTTAATACTATTGTAAAGATTCACATTTACTACCAAATTACAAATATTTAATTTTATAGTAAAAACTCCACTTGTGTCCGAATTCCATTCCTACAGCAGAAGATAACTTGATTTTTACTGTAAGTCAGAACTCGCATACGGCATGTAAGTACCTATGTCACCCAGCTACGCTAACACAGCAGTAACATCATAATCTAGGACATAAAAGCATCAGAAGAAACTGACTTGCGCTCGGTAGACATAATGAATAACCAGTCCATTGCATATAGTGCTGCATAGAGATGTATTTGTCCACTCCGCTCACCACCTAGTTCTCGTGCGAAATTTGTTTTAATCCCGTATCTTGGAGTGGTGCAACTCATGGGAGATGGCGATGTGTTCACGAAACAGCGTTGGTTGCGGACGCCGTAAACCGAGTGCCTCCAGTATTCACTTTTAAGGACAAGTACCAAACCTTTCCTAAAATATTTTCTAAATTAGTACAACAATACATTGGACCCAGCTGTGTCTCTGTCTTCACAGTGTCCTGTACTGTATTCATGTTAATGTAACTGACATTAAAATCCCTGTTTCCACAAAATGTTACTCAAAAAAACTGTACATTTTTTTGTCCCTTGTCCAACAGTTGTCTCTGCTCTAAACAAGGCCTGGTGTGTCAGTTGCTTCTCATGCTCCACATGCAACACGAAACTGACTCTCAAGTAAGTGATTCCCTTTGCTAGCAACTTCGTTGACTAATTGTGTGTATCACAGTCAGCTGTTAACGAGGGTCTCTAGTGTCTTCTTTAACACTGCTAACACTGCTGTTGTCTTTAACACTGTTGTCTGTGTGTTTCACAACTGAAGCTTTTCCTCTT